AAGCTCCTGAAATTCATACGTGTTAAGTCCAGACAAGTCTCTCTGAAAATGCAGACAGGTGCCCACAGGAGAGGGGAAAACGCAAGCTTTTTCCCATGCTCTCCCAGCTGGCTGGTAAGCGTGTGGCCCAGCTCCCTGCCCACCAGCTCCCGCCACAGATCTGGGCAGAGGAGGTTTGAATCCAGCCAGTCACTCTTCCTAACCCTGCTCCAGGGAGCTGCACCCACCAGACGCTGATCCCGGGAGACGTGCTGTGGAAGCCCACCTTCCAGCTGCCCCTGGGAACCAGCTTCTGGCTGCGGAGAAGTCCTTCAGCAAAGAGTGAGGGATGAAGGAAGTGGGAACACAGGCAGCAGGGACACTCCCTGCAGCCGCCGCTGCTCCCAGAAAATGGGCTCTTGAGGAGAAGGGGCAGGGACCTGAATAAGTAATTTTAAAGTTGGGGGAAGAGGTAGAACAAGTCTTAAGAGAATGTGGGAGGACATGGGAAAGAAGTCCAGAGAGCTGCTGATACAGATCCTTAGGTCAGTATAATCAGCAAAGGATCATGCAATAAGCAGGAATGAAATCATGGCTTGAGCAATGATTTTGTGCCACCAATAAAATTCTGTGGGGAGTAGTCACTGAAAGGGTAGGCTTAGCCTGGGTTTTTCATATTTAGGAGCACAGGCAGCTAAAGAGCTGAGGGGAAATGATTTATGAGGACAGAGCTAAATGCTTATTGCTAGGTTAAACAACAAGTAAGGGCAGACATAACAGCCTACAAATACCCATAGGAGTAAACGTCAAGGAGTGTGAGGAACTGTTTTGAACAGCAAGATAAATTTCCTAAGACTGAAGCGCAGTAGCTTGTTGATACACCTGCCCAAACAGCTGAAGTTTTGTCAGCCATGACTACCCTGGGCAAAGCACGAGCAAACAAAAGGCAAGGAATAATTCTGTGTTGCTGGACAGGTGAAAGAGATTATTCAAATCTCTCACGTTCAGAGGATCTCCACTTCTCCATCATCGGAGAAGCTATCTGCAGTGTTCAACAAGGTATACAGGAGTTGGAGACACTATTCTGGAGACGTACTGCAACTGCTTTCCCATTATGATTTTTGTGATAGCAGCAATTACAAACCTTATTTCATCAAGACAGTTTCAGGCTGATTGTATAAATGCAGAAGTCACATAGCTATTGCAAAGGAATAAGCACACAAGATCACTCATAGCTAGAAAGACTATCCACCACAGCAGCTCCACTACAATTAACATCAAATTTATCCTGCAGGGGAAGAATGTTAAAATTGCACCTTATCTAATGTCCCCTTAACCCCCTGAAATAGCTTTTAAATGGACTTGAACTTTGTTCTGTGATGAGCATCTGCACGAGGGGTGAGATCCAGCCCAAGGTTGTGTTTGAGGGAGGTAAAGATTTCAGTAGGAGACCTGGGGAATGTGCCTGATGGGAAAAGAGCTGCTGGGGCTATACTGAGCAGGAAAGCAAGGGAAAGGGAAGGACTGCAAGGTAAAAAGCAAATAAACAAAAAGGACCTTTGAATTTTGTTTCACAGCACGGAATTGCAACCGTGGCAGGGCCAGGAACAAGAGGCTACAACTAACAAGGTAGAAAGGGAGAGTGGGATTTCTTCTGAATCCATCAGATTGCAAAATTATCATTGAATTAAAGGAAATAAATACAGGTAAAGGGGAGAGAAAAGAGCTCCTACATAGTCTTGAATTGTGGTAAGGGGGACGGGAAAGGAAAACTAAACAAAGCAAATGCACAGCCACAAGAAACAAATGTAACCCTGAGATAGTTTCTGTCTCCCTCTTTTCTGGCAATATCATGTTTCCAGCCTGTGGATTGGTAGTGAGGATAAAGCAAACAGTTTCCTTACTTCTTCCTGCCCTGATTGAGACACTGGATCACTAATGCAGAGCGTTGCTTAACTTAGGGGTGGTAGGAACCCAGTTCTCACTTTGCCTTGACTCCTGAAAATCAATCCCAATGCTGATGTCCAGTGACAAGAAAGAAAAGACTGTTCCTTCATCTCTGCATGAAGGAAGAAGGTAAATTTCCTGAAAATACTCCCAAAACTGTACACGACTTCACATTTTTGACAGAATGAAGAAGTGAGAGATGAGGGAATAAAAAAAAAAAAAAAAAAAAAAGAGCCATGCATGACTCCTATGGTAAGGAGAGGACTGAGAGAAACTCAGGTAAGCTGGGATGGAATTTGTTTTGCCTGAGCATCATAAGGTGGGTCAGTTGATGGCTGTGTGGTTTCAACACACGCACAGAACAAAACACATTGCTAAAGTGTCATAAAGAGAACAGACGGATTTCGGAACTATCTAAAAACAAATTGCAATCTGTCTCCCATCTTAAGGCTAGGAAAGAGCTGACCATCCTAGAGGAAATTCCACTCAATGTCATTACACCATTCCAAAGCATTCTGGAGATTTAGGAGCTGATAAAGGAGAAATTAAGGTACAAGAAAAAAAAAAAATAAATCTGAGGAACTCTTGTTGTCAAAGATTTACAAATGGCATGAAAAAAAGTATTGAGGAAGAAAGGCCTTGTAATTACATCCTTAACTTGAGATTCAGGTTCTTCTTCTCACCTTAGCTTAATGCCTAAAACATTCAAAACAAGAGGTGCCTTATATATTTGTAAACACTATGTTGCTTAAAGGTACACGATACAATATACAATTTCATAATCCATGGCATGGTGTCAGGAGGCTACAGTGGGAACAGATGACCGACTATGCAGTAGCTCCATTCCTGTGGTAAATATATCTCAGAAGATTCAGGTAGTGTCATGGTACACAAAATTGTGCCAGGGAGAGACTCTGAGTCTATTGTGTCCGTTTCTGTGTTGAGGAAGGAAAGTGTTTTTCACCTTCCAGACTTGTTTGGGGTTCTTTCTCTTTTTTTTTTTTTTTTTTTTACTTTTCTTTTTTTTTAGAAAAATCTTGAGCAGGAAGCTGAAACAATTACCTGAACAGAGCAGTACAGACAGTAAAATCTGACTCCCAAAGGAGCATTTTCTGTCATACAGTAGCTTCCAATGAGCAAGACACCTTCTGCCCTTTGCTTTTGTTTCATTTGTTTTGTTGTGTGCCACAACACATCACATTAAAAACCAAGGTAGGACACAAAAAGAAGAAAACAATCCTTCCTGTGAATCTTTACTTTTGTTTGGAATCCCTTTCTGGATGTTTATGGCATCCCATAAAGTTCCTGAAACATGCCTGCTGCATTTTTAATTGTCATTTTAAATGCCAAACCCCAGAAGTCTTGCTTATATTGTATGCGAACACAGTGTCTGCTTATGTTCAAACCCTCAGGCACTTTAAATAACTCTACTGTACACAGAGAACGTTGTTCATTTTGTTTTTACAATTTTTGCCTGTGTAGAAGGAGCTCTAATGTCTTGAGAACATAAATGTATGTTCATAACTAAGGAGCAAGATCACAGCTGGAATATACCTGAGCCTTGGATCATATTTCAGCAGTGGCATGAAGCAAAAAAGCAGCTTATTTCTCTATTTAATTTACAAGAGCTACAACTGGAACGGCGCATACTAGACTTACTGACGTAACGCACAGGTGAGTGCGTGTTACAGGTCCACCTCTGTGCCTCATCCACAGGGAATATCAGACTGTTTCAGCCAGACTTAAGAGCCGTTACTGCTGGAGCCCTAGAGGAACCTGGTCCCAACCCTGGTGTGTTAGTAAAGGTGGCAGCTGCCACAACAGACTTCTGTGTAGGCTACAAACTTAGGGCATAAAATGGGGGTCTTTTTATTAATTCCAGTGAGTTTCATACCAAGCCTCCATTGTTCTGTCTTAAAGAATAAACCATTACAGAGAACTCATAAGCGAATTTGCTTTTTTCTTTCGAAGATTAAACAGGAGCAGATCAGAATTTCCTTTAAATGCATCTATTTTTCATCAGTATTCAATAAGTTTTATTATGGGCTTAAACACAACAGCATATATATCTTTATACTCAATTCCAATCTGCTCCCTACATGTGTTCTGAAACTCATATATTATGTTTAGATGTGATTGACCATGAAAGTCACAGGGTAATACATGTTCACTGAGTAAAGTCACAGACAAGTATGTGGCCAATGTTCATTTTTTGCATTAGTTTGCTGTAAATAATCTTACATGCAATTTTGCCACTTCCTTTCTATAGGAATCTCTGCAAGTAGGTTAGCATACTGCGGCTCACAGAAAGCTGACACACGGTATTTATGAACAGAGGGGAAGTAGATTAATTTCAGTGTTTGATTCAACATTGGAGAAAGGCTTTTTGCAGTATTTATTCACCCAATAAGAGGCACAGTCTCTCCTCTGGTCTGGCCATATTACCAGAGAAGGAAAATTTCTGTTGAGTTATGACTGTAGAGTATAGGACTATCGGTCAAAGAATGAGATGCTTCATTTCTCAGTGTGCATCCCATACAGCCAGTCCTATAATAGCTGTCATTATTTGTAACACGCATGGCAGGGGAATAGGTGGAGAAATGAAGCCATGCATGTAAGGTAACACCCTTTTTTTTAAGCAACCACCATTTCTTGCAATGACACGTACAAGGGTCATTTGGGCTTTTCCTTCCCTTGAAGTCCGGGTTTCCTGAGAGGAAGGAGAGCTGACATACAGGAACAAGTGGCTGCACACCATTTCCAGCAGTGCAGTAGACCTTCCTCACTGACACAGGTTTAGGAACCACATCTGAATCTCCAAACTTCCTGATGATCTCCCTTTGAAAGGAGGGAAGATGGGGAAGGAGATGGGTGGAGAAGGTGAAGAGGTGGTTCTGTTCTTTTAAAGGCCTTGTGAACACAGCGAAGGTGCTCCTACACCCTTGAACCTACCATTAAAAGCAGGTTGCAATACAAGTGGGCAATACAAGGTAATGTTTCAACTAATAAAATTAACTGGACTAGCAACAATCTTCTGCTTAAAAAGCTGTTTATAATAAACAATGACTACTTACAGTGTCACTGCAAGATCACTGGAGGACTCGGAGATCGAAGAGTATCTGGTTGATCTGGCTGAGACCTGGAAAACACAGCGTCACATATCAGCAAACAACACCAGCAATCAACGTATTTTTTTATGAGGGCTGTTAGAACAGGAGGAAATGTTCAAATCCAGACTGCTGGGCCACTCTGTGACCTAATCCTGGTCAGAAAGAAAAAAATCTGCCATTCACTAGATCACCACTGATAAAAGAGAAATACTTCCATTCACTAGAAAAGAACATCAGTTTGTGTGGTTTGTACTGCAGGTCTTTTTTAAGCCTCTAAAAGGGTTAATCGAACCCTAGAGATAATAAATACATTATTATGCTGCTGTGTAGGTGCTAAGAAGATGAATATAGGTTGATTTTTACAAACTTAACCTATGCAGAGTGAGTCATAATCTGAACCTTGCGTCATTCAATAAATGGGTCTTTTGAAAGTCAACCCACTGTCAATGGGCTGATAGCTCTCAAAAAGCAAGAACCCTGCTCTCCTGCCCACAGGCTGCCTAATTGTAGGATCAAAAAAGCCATTCTCCCTGGGTTACAATGTGATGGCAATAATAGGATCCAAACAAACAACTACATTTTTGTGGTTTTGCTGCATCTCTCTTAAAAGGTCAAAAGGTTTTGACTGAAACAACTGTTTTTCGTGAAAGATTAATTCTTAATCATAAATGGGTGTTAATCTCATTGCTACTTCTGCTGCACCTTCTAACAGTGTTTCTTTATTCAATTATGCCTCGCATCAACTTTTTAATTAATACCTTCATTAAGAAAACCTTGAAGGTTTAGATAAATAACATTTGCTTTTGTGCATTTCAACCGTAAGCTTCTGTGTGAAGGAAATTTTCCTATTTTGTAGTCTCCCAGGGGAAAGAAAAGCAAGTAGAGAGGAGGTCTACATGTTCACAGGGATCTCAGCACTGAGGAGACAGAATAATCATCTTTTGTTGAGTACGAAAATAACGAAAAACAAAGTAAACAATACCCTTTTGTTCTGAACAAGAAAGGCAGGGCCTTAATAGTCTTTAAACGAGATAAAAAATTTCCATCCAAATGGAACCATGGAGTAGGTAGACACATTACAGCGTTTTGGAGTTCAGTGATTAAATTTAATACTGTGCCAAACAGTGATTAGTTGATGAAGGGCATTCATAAATAGAATAGAAACAAGGGAAGTGTGGCTCCAGTATAGCACTGGGCCTCTGGTGCAGTTTGGTGTTCAGCTTTCTACTTTAATAACAGGATCACATGAAAAAAAGTTTAATTTTATTTATTTCCCTAAGGAAACTCAGCGCAATTGTAAACACAGGCGGACTGGTACATATCACTAAAACTTCAGCACTCAGGGCCAGATCCAAGAAAGGGGCTTAGGTACCAAGTGAAGCGCAGAAATATATCCTTTTCTTCAGCATTTTTCCAGCTCGCTAACTCAATCCCCCCGCTCAGAGCACTGGTACATGTGAATCCCATTACGAGGCACTGAATTCCCCCAGCGTACTGTGCAGGCGAAGTAGCACCCTAATTAAGGCTTCTGAATCCCAGCCTCAGAGCTGAGTGCCTATGTCCTTTATGGGTCTTTGCCTTAGTGCATTAAAATCCCCTGTTGAGCCCAATGTGACACATTGTTCTTACCACCGCACATACGTGACTAACGAACCAGAAGAATAGGAGCATAAATCCTTTTTAACTTATCTGTGGTCTCTCCTAAGCCTACCCAACCCAGGCAGCAAGCATGTGGTGTGCAGAGAAGTCAGCAGCAATACGTGAGCCCCGTGCACACAGACAGATCGGGTCGACTTCAGCAAATAGTCACTGCTTTTGCAGAGGACAAGCAAGATCATCCCCTGGTTTTATCAAGTGAAAGATTACCCCCTGAACTCTGAAAAGTGGCCTTTGAAGGAAATAAAATTTTCACTGCAATTTCTGCTAAATTAACTGCTCCAATCCATCCCAGTATCTTACGAATCAGTATCGAAGTGTCACATAAGACTTGCATAAGCCTCACAAAATATAAGCAAAATTAAACTGAGATATATGTGGAGCAGAAGACATGACAGTTCTTCTTTTCTTCCTTTTCTATCATCGCCTATTCCTACAGTCCAAGCAGAGGCCATCACCATTTTAATTTGAAAGAAGCCCTCTTACTGAAAAAATTATTTTGGACCATATCTGTTAGCTGAATTCGTATAAATCTGCTGTCTTCTCATGGGCTTTCTCCAACTATATTCTGATGTAAGCAAGATCAGAATCTTACTTTGGTGATAAACTGCAGGGGTATATTAAAGGTAAACATTGGTGCAGGCCACTGGTTTTGGTGAAATCTCATTTATGGGAAAAAGAATTTACACTTACAAATTACTATAATAGTCACATGATTAAAAAAAAAAAATGGTAACTTCTAATGTTCTAAGCATTTTGCTAAAATTTTTAAACCCACACATTAATTAACAATAATTAGCCACCAAGCATGTTGTGTGTGCTAAGTTAGCTGCAGATTTCAGAACAAGAAAATAAAACAAAAAAGTCATGGAAAAACTATCGTGGATCTCTATTTAACACTTCAAATGACTGGTTTTGTAAAGCTCTTATCAGAATCCTCCCTCACCAGCAACCTCCCTGACTGCCAGAGGGCCTGGAAGCTGTTCTCATCAGCTGGAGAAGCAAGTGATTTGCACCTTAGAAAAATTTCAGACTTATTCTTTGTGTATGATTTGTGTTCCAGGAGGTAGTAAGAGGTAAATTCTAGAGGCTTTCAGTGATCAAATGCCAAGAAGTAGAGCAGTTTACTGGAACAGCAGCAGCTTCTAATGTCTTCGCAATGACAGTTTTAACTAGAAAGGTACAATATTTTATATTCTGTGAAGCTGAGCTAGACCATTTTGGCAAAGAGTCTGTCTGCCTACCAAGGGTGGAGTAGCTATTTACTATCTATATAATGACTTCCTACTGCAAATGGGTCAGGTAATTCAAATAACTAGCCAAAACTGCCTTTGGTCGAGTCTGGTGGAAGTCTAGCCTGTAAGTAAATACGTCCCTCTGCTTCAGAGTGCACATCCTCTGTCATGTGATGTCTCAGCCATTTCCTGGTACTGCCACTCCAACAAATACTTCACTTTATCTCCTTCCGATTGTACCATCGGCAGTTTCACCACTGAGGTTGCTGTTGCTGCACTTTCTGGTGTCAATGGCCTGCAGTGAACTGAAAAAAATACCTACTGAAAAAAAACAGGCAAGCACTTGAATGATACCAGAGGCTCCTTCCTTCTCTTCCTTTGTTGTAGCTCACCGGGCGAACATCCAGTTTGTCAGTTCTGCTTGCCCAGCTCCAAACCAAATGTTTCAGAATCCAGCCTGCACAAATGATCAAGTTTTAAACAAAAACTCCAGCAGAAGATCAGCTTGCTGCATGTGACCAGTGTACTGCATGGCTTTCCCTCAACCTGAGCCTGGATGCCTTACATTCAAACACATGGATTGCATTTGTTCTGGCATTTGGAGTGGGGTAAAAGATACCGTGCGTGTGTGGTGGGGTGGTAAATCCCAAACTCGGTAAGATTTCAGAGGTGCTGCCTTGCACAGTGGTTAAGAAGTAACCAAGTTCTTGTCAAAATGTTAAAAGAAAGGTATGAAGTAACTTGAATAGTAAGAAATAACTACCAGCTCCTAGCTGGTTCCTGCAGGCACTAGGGATGGAGCAGGCTCTGCTGTCTGGCAGCAAATCTCTATTCTGCACAAAGCAGCCTCCCCGTCGGCCTGCGCAACAGCCCCTGAGAGAGCTCCTGGGAAAGGATGCAGTGGTTATTGAAAAGATCCTGAAATTATTCAGAATACAGCTGTTTGCCAAAAACATAGCAATATGGCTTTGTTCACTGTAAACATTTCGGGCAACACTGTTCACATTGCACCAATTCACTAAATTGTCTAGCTCTGAAAGTGAGAGGAAATTTTGACAAGCTTTGAAGTGAGTAACGACTCTTGCTAAGAGAGTCAAAGTTATTCCAGCAGACTACAGTTGAACCACAAAAAGAGAGGTCCTGAGGAGCAAGGAGATCCTACAGATACAAGTCAGCATGACCAACAAGTGTCACCGCATTTCACAATTCAGTCCTTTACTGGAAAAAAAGTCAGCAAAACAAAAACATGTTCACAGGTTCTAGTGGGCTCTGGATTAGACTGGTGTCTTCAGGGGAACAGCTTCATGAATCATGGCAGTTTAGAGCAGCTCTTTTAAAACAAAATTTCTGAAAATGAGCAAGTTATTTCATAGATGAACTATGATATCATGGGAAGTTTTTGCTTGTCTATCTCCTGAAACAAGCACGCTCCTGTAAAGAACAAATGAATGTCAATATTATTCCTAAATGCATTTGAAAATTAATACTGTAACCATGTGTCACTTAAAAGTACTCTGTTTTGATCTTCACAAGGTTATCCCAGTTGCTTCGCCCCATAAAATTAACCACAAACACAACAGTGGATGAGTCAAAACACAAAGCTGACTCTAAGAGAAGGGATAAATGCCTCTGGAGAGCACAGCAAGCAGGAGGCACGAAGCAAAGGGTGCAGCAGCGTGCGGTAACAGTTGAACCACTGGGGACAGGGATAAGAGGAGATCACTTGGTGTTACAATTCTCATTTACTTCAAATTCCTCCACCTCCCACCAAGGCAAACATCTCTTGCAAGGTCTGGAACACCTGATCTGACGGACCAAAGTCTGAACTGGAAAGACGTGAGCTACAAGATGCAAGCTCGGAGCAGGAAGGTGGCCCACAGGCTCTGGCACTTAGGCGCAGCGGCTTTGAAAGGAGTTTCCAAGGGGCTTACACAAAAAGTCCTTTCAGAAGTGCTCCATAAAATACACCTGAAGAAAGACCGTTAGGAGGAGACTCGGTTTAGCTCTGTTCTCTTCTGTTTAGCTCTGTTCTCTTCTGTTTAGGTCGGGTGTTGTTTTTTCACACACAGAAACACATGTACAGACTTAGTACACCATACAATGCCTCACTAAAGTCATCAAGTGGTGGTTATAACTTC